CTTGGTATGGGTGGCAGCGGGCCTGGTTCTTGGGGCCGGTGCCTGCTACTGTCTTAACTGGCTGAAGCGGGCCTGGTGGCCCAATGTGCACCAGACTCGGCTGTGTCTCTCTCGGTCTGTAAAGGACTTAACAGATGGCTTGCACTTAACAGATGGTGAAAGCACTTCAGAAACTCCTTTACCTGCTTGAGTCAACTGAGGATCCTGAAATTATTGAAAGAGCTTTGGTCACTCTAGACAACAATGCAGCTTTTTCAGCTAACCAAAAGGTAATTCGCAAATTGGGTGGTATTCCAATTGTTGAGGACATGATCAACAGTCACAAATACAGTATAAAATAGAAAGTGTTTAATGCACTAAATAACCTCTGTGTGAATGTTGAAAATCAGGAGATTAAAAAAAAAGAAAGAAAGAAAAAGAAAATCAGGAGATAACAAAGGTCTACGTCAGTCAAGTCTGTGATGATGTCATCTTCTCAGGTCCCCAGAACCCTGCTGTGGAGATGGCTGGTTTGAGATTGTTAACAAACATGACTATGACCAACAACCACCAGCATGTGCTTAATGGTTACATTATAAACTTCTTTCATATGTTACTTGCTGGAAATAGTAGCACCAAGGTTCAATTCTTGGAACTGCTTTTGAACTTGTCTGAAAACAGTCATGACATAAAGATTATTCAGTGCCCAAATGGATTCCTCATTTCTTTCCCTTTATGATGGCCATGTGGCAAGGGAGATTCTTCTTTGAGTACTCAAGCTGTTTTCAAAATTTAAATGACTGCATTAAAATGGATAGTAATTTAGTTAAGACTATTTTCAACTTTCATAAAGATTTGTTGTGTTCCCTATTATATGGACAAGAATTTGCTCAAAATTAGAGCTCTAATTCATGACCCTGACATGCATGTTAAGGCAAAAGTTGTAACAATAACCCAATTTGGATTGACCATGTTGCCAAAGAGTAATGCAGCCTAGAAACAGCAGACTTTATAAATTTAATTTCCATGTGCATTATAAAGCAAAGTCTTTGAGCTGTCGAATTTAAACAGTAAATATGTTTCATCATTAACACTATAATTTGTTACAGTCTCCAGGTTTATCTTGGACCATTTTATTGATACCAAATGAATAATAGTGCTTCTATGGAAACAGTTATTTCATTTTTATCTAGATTAAGATATTTTAGTTATTTCCTCTTTGTGAAGTGACAGTGACTTTAAAAAAATTAATCAGTTGCCCTTCTGTCATTAGCAGTGATTTGCATCTAAGAGGGTGGCCCTAAATGCCAGGAAAGGAGAACGGCTCCAGAGGGTTTGCAGGGGTTTCAAAACTCTGTCAATCATTTATTTCAAGTCAATGAAAAATGTAATCTCTTAGGAGAAAGCATTTCCACTGTCATTCATTGTGCTAGTTTTTAAAGGTGTTATGCATAAAATATTAAGATTGTCTTTGTTAGATTTTTTTTTTACTTCTGCTTCCATGGGCACTGATTATGAATCTACTTAAAATAAAATCCTTGACAACTTCAGACAAACAAGCAAAAAATCCATTCAAAGGGAATTGGATAAACAAATTAGTCTCTTTAAAAGGAATGAAGTAGTTTTGAATGTGAAAATGTGGAATGACAACCAGGAAATACAGTTGTTTTTCTAAAAAGACATTGACATAGTGAAGATGCATACTGTTGAGCATTATACTGAGTAAACTAACACAGTCTCATAAGGACAGATACTGCACAAGACCATTATTGAAAAGACAGAAGGATAACTAGTAAAACATGTATGAGAAGTCAAGGGGAGCAGAGGGGTGAGGCTAGGTAGAGGTAAAACCACAGGGTTGCACAGTTTAGGTGGGTGGAAGGAGGGAGGCAAGGAAAGGGGAAGGATCTGGCCAAAAAGACTGGGTAATGATGTCAAGGTCCAATAGCGATGGATTTTATGAAACATAATGCGTGAGAAAGATTGTATGACACACAGTGTGAATGAAGAATAGTGTGAAAAGCAATGTATACCAAACTTTGTAAGCAAACCAATAAGAAAAATTAATTTAAAAAAAAAACCCCAAGACAAAGATTCTCACCATGTGGCCAACTGGCAGCACCATGATAGATGGAGAAGAAATTGTCATTAACAATTTCAGCTTGCACAAATCCACAATCAACACTCTTGGCACCAGCAGCCAAGAAATCAAATGATTAATTGCTCTGGGGGTAACAGCTTCCAGGGACCAAGTCTCCAAAGTACTAAAAAGCAATTATATCAGTCTGGAGACTAAGGTGTGCCTCATTCAGGCCATGATCTTCACGATTATTTGCTATGCATCAGAGAGCTGGACAATGACTAGATATGATAGAAGGAGAATTGATGCCTTTGAGTTGTGGTGCTGGAGAAGAGTACTGAATAAACCATGGGCTGCTAGGAGAACAGATTTGTCCTAAAGAGGGTGAAACAAGGCTGCTCTTTGTAGGCAAGGATTTTGAAGCTCTGTCTGACATACTTTGGGCATGTGGTGAGGAGGGACCATTCCCTGGAGAGGGCTATCATTCTTGGAAGGATGGAGGGACAACAGAGGAGAGGAAGATCCTAGATGAGATGGATTAACTCAGTGACTGGGGTAACGAGGGTAGGTGTGTAGGAGTCAATGAGATTAGCTCAAGATAGGGCAAGGTTCAGAGCTATTGTACCGAAAACTGGCTGGAAGGTCAGGTACGGGTTGGTTCACACTCACTAGCATACATCAAAAATAAGAATATAGGGGAGCTCTGGTGGCCTAGTGGTAAGGAGCTGCAACTACAATCCCAGAGGCGCACGGTTCAAATCCACCAGATGCTCTGCCGGGGAAGGAGGAACAATCTCCTCCTGTACCAGTCAGATCTGATTTGACGGTAC